TCCTCCTATATTGAAAATTTTAAATGCTGAGAGATCCTTCTGCTGACTGTGGAAGAATTTGAAGACTGCATGTTCTTGGCTTCAGATTTTGTTGATTAGTGTTGTTATCTGGAGTCAGGTTAGGGAGGACTTGTAGTGACCCTGCTCAATTTTGCTGTGTCCAGGATTTCAAAGTGGGAAGTCCTGCATTGGCCTCTGCTGTGGCCTGACAGTGGCTGGGACACAGCGGTTCCACTTGGTGTGAGTGTAGATCTGTCCGTTTTAGCATATTTGCACACATCCACAGATTGCATTTTTCTGTTTCCCTGGTCAAAGCCATGGCTGTGGTTTGCAGGGGAAGTGGGTGTCATGTAGATAACCTGGGAGAATGTGCTGAGCGTGGCTGGATGTTCTGCAGGCAGGAAAGTGCAGTGATCCACAAGCAGGAACTCACATTCTGTCAAGTTATTGCACCCCTACACACACACACACACACACACACACATCAACCCCCCTAACTGCCATCTGTATTTCTGCCTCTGTCAGGCCTTTCTCTGACCAAAAAGCACACATGCACTAACACACACACACACAGGAAGCGGCCTGTGCGGCTCCCAAATAAGCTGATGTGTCATGCCTTCCTATCCGATATTTCTGCAAAAGCTCAGGAAGGAGGCTACAGAACCTCTCTTCTCCTTCTTCCTCTTCTTTTCCCCCTGTCTCGGCTGAGAGCTACAGCTGTAGCCGTGACAGCTCTTGTTCTTCTGCAAAAAAACCACTCTGCAGCTCCTGCGGTGGGAGACGCTGTCACTCTGGGGAGCCATGAGTCGCTGCTGTGTGGTCAAAGTCATCACTTTGACAGAGATCCAACTGCTACAGGTAGGGGGAGCGACTCCACTATGGGCCGGGGGAAATCGGGACAAGATTGGATATAGAAAAGAATGTTTGTGTTTGTTTGCATGCAAGAGGGTGGTGTGCTTTATAGTAGCCATGCACTTACAACCAGAATAACTGAATATCCACTGTGTAATGCAGATTTTGTGTTCAGTATCGCTATCCCAGTCTTATCTCCCCTAACACATTTCACAATCTAGGGTGCGTGGTTACGGCTATTTACTGGTTAGCAGGCTCAGCAAAACTGCAGAAAGCATGTCTGAGACGGCTTTTTGTCCCATTTTCATGTTATCACCTCAGATTCCAGATGGGGAGAAAAGCTAATCAATCATTGCTCCGTGCATCCTGTAACTGTGTCAGTGTGTTGGGAAGAAAATGCAGCGTTTTGGAGAAACGGTTTCAAATCTCCTACTTAGGTTTTGTCCATAATTTGTACAGCTATACTTGATGTCACCATAACCCACTGTTTCCTAAACTGTTGGATTTTTCTGAAGTGAAAGAAGAACTTGGGCAAGACTGAAACTGAGTTAGGCAACAGCATGTCAGTGAAGAAGAAGAAACACCTGTGTCAGTGTGTCTGTTCTCATGGATTTGTGAGTGCAGCAACTCAGCTGAACAATAGAAATACACCTTTGAACTCAGAGGTAAATTACAAAACTATTATATCTATCTCACAGACAGAGGCTGGAGAAACCATGCTTTGACATCTTACTTAAACTGGACTCTAGAATAGAGCATGTGTTTCTGTAATCCAGGGTTGTGATTTTATTTTTGCGATTTCAGTTTTTACCTTATTGGGCGAATTCATTATTTTTTATTACATAATATGTATATGTAAGTATGCATTTTTCTCTTTTGGGGCAAAGAGCACTTCTGATATTCTTTATAGCTGCAGTTATTGTGTGCACTTGCTTACATTAATCATATGTCAAGATTTATATTCTGGAAAAAATGATTTTTGCAAGAGAGCACTTGTTTTGATTTGATTAATCTGCGGCTTCCTTGTGTGTTTAAAGTCATTTACAAGTAAATTAGTGTGTGTGTGCAGTAACAGTCACATTATGGGGACTTGTCTTCAAGAGTTGGTGACAAAAAGCCTAAATTAATACATTTTAAGGTGAAGATATGTTTTCAGGTTAAGTTAAAGTTAGGTTTCATTATGGTTTAGGTTGGTTTAAGGGTTAGGGTTAGGCAAGTAACTATGGGGAAGTGTCCAGGAAATCAGTGTAAGTCAATGTAATGTCCTTTGAAATGATGGAGACATGTGGGTCCTCTTCAGGACATAGTCAGAATAAAATCAGACCTTTTCAGGACCAGTAGACCTCATGAAGCACAACATCTGGTCCTAATGAGGCAAAATGTAGTTTCTAAGCTCCTGGTATAGGTTGGTGGTAAGATGTGAATTGTAGTTGGGTTAAAGCTGTATAAACCTGTGTGTGTGTGTCTGTCTGTCTGTGGCTCTGACATATTTATTTCACTTATTTAAACATCTGTAATGTTTTAACTTGATGCAGGAAGTACAAAAACCAAACCGTACAAATAATAATTTCATACACTCAAATGTTATGAACGATTGAAAAAACTGCGCTTACATAAGCTGAAGAGATACGGTACAATTTTGTACATTTGCAGAAATAGAAGGAGCTGTCTAGAAGGCCGCGTAGCGAAGCTTTGATATCGGTAGGTTGGGAGTTTTAGGCCCACATACCCAAAGGTTTGCATGTCAGGAATAACTGTGCAAATGTGTGCAAATGAAAAGTGAACCTGTGACCTCTCCTCTGCCAGAAACCTCAAACACTGCCTCAATTGTAGTAGCAGGTGCTTGTAGCCATATTGAGAAAGAGGAAAAAAAAAGTGAAGTGTCTGAAACTTCAGAATAGTCACAACAACTTGAGCCCCGATTGATTCGATTCTTATCTCGTTCCTGTACCCGTGAGTATGGCGGGCATTGATAATTTTCAGCATGTCCCCTTCACACATGCACAGGGACACCATTGTTAGAGTTGGCCTTGGTGACTGAAGCACCATTACCTCTCAAATCTAATCAGATCCCCTTAAGTGGATAACAAGCGTGTCTCCGGCATTTACAGTAGTGAGAAAGCTGAAGTGAAACCAGGACAATCTGCCGTCACACAAAGCAGATGTGGTGTGTAGCGGCTCTGGCATCCCTCCTGCTATCCGTAGTGGAATAAAAATGTTGATTGGCCAACAACTGGCATCTTGTTTGGCCTGGAGAAGGCAGATAAGAGCTCCCAGTCCCAACTGACAAGTCGAGTATTGTGACGAACCTTTTCTTAACTTAGGTGGACGAGTGGTGAATGTGGGCAGTTTGTCTTGCTGACGAGGTGAATTTAATGCTGAGGTTTAGAAGTAATCCTATTGTTGGCCAATGTGGTTTGAACAGTGAAGTGCTCAATACCCAGAAAATCTGTGACTGATGCTAAAACATAATGTGATCTATCTATATCTCTCTCTATCTATCTGTCTCTCTGTCTATCTATCTATCTATCTGTCTCTCTATCTATCTATCTATCTATCTATCTATCTATCTATCTATCTATCTATCTATCTGCCTGTCTTCTGTCTATTCATATCTATCTGTCTGTTTATCAATTCCAAACATTCATCGTGACTCGTACGTAACTTAGGAGAGAAGAAACAACACATCCTACCTTTTCAAATTAAACATGGAAATCATGCACTGTTGATTAATTTGATTCTGTCAGGGGTTTGGCTGCTGTAGCCTCACTTGATTTAGCATGACCACATGCTCATGGTGGCTAATGTTGACATTTGACTCAGAAAAACTTTCAATGATGCCAATGGTGTAATAACATGACCCACACTATGCTAGAAAGTTATTGATAAATTCCAGCAGTTCCTCTTGAGAGACTGTTTTGAGAGAAGAAGTGACACATTCTCCCCCTCACAACTTTATAGTTGCTGTGAGACATGCACTGAACTCTGGATGTTTTTAAACTCAAATGTGTGAGTCAGTTGCTCCAGAAGAGAATAAAGCAGGAAAATGTCCAGAGAAAAAAACCCTGAACAAATGATGCAAATATCACGGGATGAAAAAGACACAAAGAAGCCGATAGCAAAGACGTCAACTGGAAAAGACAACGAGATTCAAGATCTTTCGGCAATAAGGGCCGATCTGTAAACAAAAATATATGATTTCTGCAGCCAAATTACTACGTCACGTGCTGCCTCCTGCATGTTCTACTCAGACTCCAACTCCTGTTTTGGGACATTTTCCTGTTGCTGTAAACACAACTGACTCGGACAATCTCCTGCTGTGTTCTTCTTCTCTGGAAAGTGCCCAGACTCAATTTTCCGCAAGTTTATATCTGAAAACGGCTGATGACTCTCACCAGTAGCTAATATGGCCGTGGATCAAGTTACAAAGCTTCACTAGATGATCTGTTTTTGAGGTTAGGTAACATGCTTAAATGTGACACCATGATTACATGAGCACTATAAGCATTTAATATCGAATTTCCCTCTGTTACTTAATATTAATACTAAATACTTAAAAAAAAGGCTTGACAAGCCCCAATTATCATAACCAGTGAACAGCACACTTTTAAGATTAACTACACAGATGAGATAAAAAAATTCAATGAAATCAATAAAATCAACACATACATTAGTTGCATTATTATTATCATTTTTACTATTACTTTCTCCTAAAAATACTTTACAGGACATAAACCAATAAAGCAAGTTATAACACAGCTTCTTTGTGAGCTCAAGACAAATTGGACATTTTTAGGTGAGATGCTCCATCTGAAAATAGTCACAAACTCACAGTATTAAAGACCCCAAAATAGCTTTCTTGCTGTTATTGTTTTGGAAACTGATAATACAAAACTGTCTACATTGAAACCGATGAATGAATGAAAAGGCACAGTTAAAAATGGCATTAGAGGAGTTATTTAGAAGCCCCACTGGGGAACAAGGGTCAATTGTGCTGCCACAACCCCTGGAGCAAGTCAGCAGAGAACTATGGGAGCTGACCACTGATTGGCCAGTGAGACAGAAAAGGGCGGTCCCAATGAATTAGTGATAGTCGCCAAAGGCAGATATCCTGCAGTGATCAAACCCTGGGTGATCTGACAGTCCAGTGTTTGAAGTGATTATCATTCTACGCAACATAAAAGCTTACCCCCAGCTTTGGGCCTAATTAGTTCACTTAGGGCCCTTATAAGACACTGGTAGGGGACTGGAAAGGACAGACACTCACTGAGAAGTCAGCAGATTAGCAGGACCGCAGCAGCAGATCTGGATGCCTAAAGTTGACCTGCTGCCACATCAAAACAAGCTGAAGATAATCTGCTTTTCTGAGAATGCCACACTTAACTGACTGCAGTTACTTCACAATGCGGGACGCGACCAGAGCTTCAAATGTAAGACGATTGAAATTTAGAGGAATTACTTGTTATATTTATACATTTATTTTAACATTTGCTTGTCATGTGTTGTCGTGTTTTCTATTGTAAAATTTGCACGGCCCTCGTTACTGGTTTGACAATCTTGACTGCTGGCTGAATGTATGTGGTGCTGCATTTTAAAAGAATATGTGAGTTCTAACTTTTAACCTATATGAGTTGACATTTCAGGAATTTGAGGAATTATCTTAAGAATGGGTCATAATTCCGATAAAAACCTTGCTACATATGAGAACCATGACTCAGCTGAAGGAGTGTTATTTTGCAGTGAATAACTAAAGGGGAGTTGTGACGCTCAACAATGTGCGTTTGATTGAAAACATTTCACTAAGTTGACAACTGCAAACAACCCCTGTGCATATGCTCTCCGTCAACGCTGTCAAAAAACTTATTTTCAATGAAGCCAACTAAGTGAAAGCATATATGATTTGATTTTGCCACAGGTACAGAGCCACCTTGAGAGCTCCAAGTTCCACCTCCACCAGAGCCAAAACCAGCAGGTCAAGCAGTACATGACGCTGGGCTCCAAGCTTGCCTCGTCGGCCGGGCAGGGCCACGCCATCTCTCACCCGCACGCCCCCGGCCAGCCGCTGGCCACCATGCCGATCATGAGGAACGGGAACATGCCCTCGGTCAGCGACGGCAGCAACCCCACCAGCCCCGTCACCCTACTCACTATGGCCAGTCACGACAGTGAGGTGAGTCAAACGGAAAAAGCATCTGAGAGTGAATAACACTGCGGCTGAATTTGTGGAACTGAAATTGAGAAAAACTCAAAATTTGCCTAGTGGTGACTGGAAAAGGGTGAAATTGCAACCACAAAAACGTGTAATCACAGACTGGATTAAATGTGTCATAGTATGTGTAGGTTACACAACATTTTACACATTTTCCTGTCAACTGTCCGTATTACTGTCATAAAAAGAATATTTAGTTTTGTGTTACTTTCATTGTTGCTCAAGAGAATTGTTACAGTCCCTTTTAAATTCTTGGAAATGAAGAGAGATGAGTAATGGCTGACTGGCTGGGATGCACAAAATAATTCACATGCACAAATGACTGTGTATCTGTACAAAGTTTGAATCTCTACAATGCTGTAGCAGCTCCCGACTAATCATCCGAACAAAGTGATGCCATTATTGATCTCTCCCTCTCTCTGATGTGCTCATCAATAACTTCAGACATACAGTCTCTGATGAGAGTACCCAGTCAAACTAGTTTGATAACTTGCATGTTTTCCCCTGCCAACGCCTCTAACTAGTTGTGAGAACACGGCAGCTGAGAACTTGCGAGTTATTGGATTAGTCTCTCGACACTACTGCCCTCCCCTCCTCTTTTTTTTCTTGTGTCTACATTGGTGTTGAATGATTTCAAAAGCCCAGACTTGGACAGTATTGAAATTCCAGTATAGCAACATAATCAGTCTGTCCTTGAGTATACTGAAATTACTGTTTTCTTTTAGTTTCCAATGGGTGAAGTTATTGATGACCTAATTAGTCTTGAATCCGGTTTCAATGATGGGGGCTTGGATTGCATGGAGTCTAGCATCCTAATGCAAAACAATGTAAGTATGAAACACTATTATACTAACACTGTTTTAAAATGCCACACACTATCTACGGTATAAAGGTCTTTTATATTGATTTCTGCAACACACCCCTTGCTTGTTAACCTGCTGTGCATATTTATTTGCAGTAGGGTTTATATCAACTTTAATTTCTTCATGAACGGCGTAGTTTGAGGGCGGCTTAAGTCTAGAGATGAGTGAAAGTTCATTGGAGCTTAGCAACATTTCTCACACTGCTCAAGAACTTTAACAATAAAGATTAAATTTAAAAGAAGGACACTAAATCTAATGTCACTGTCTTACTTAACGTCAATTCTTGGCAAGACTAGAACTGGCACTGCAGCACACTAAACTGATTCTTACTCAGGAGGGGAGGAATTCTAAAATCTTGGACAAGGCGTCCATTTGGTCAGTGAACACAGCAACACCTGAAGCACATAGAGTTTTTGTTGGATGGGAACACTGGGAATCTGGCCTAATTCCTCAAATACAGAGGGACAGACAAAGAATGATACACACAAATGAAGCAAAATAAGATACCGCAGCAGAGCAGGAATGAGAGGGGTGAGGCAAAGATAAGACAATGGTGGGGAGGAGGGACGGCAGTAAGGAGTTAGGAGCGGGAGTTTCTGAGCCGTTAGATTGGGTTAATGCACACACTCAACACAGGCAGGTTCAGAAATGATACCATGCTTAAACGGATCAATTCATCCTAATTAGTCATACAGTACGATGCATCACGCCGTTTCGCCGTGTCAACACATCCAGGAGCACAGACGGGAGAGGGATTGAAGTGATTACAGTGGGAGTAGTGGGGGGAAATGTTGCAATCTTTCATCTTGATAAGCACTTTTGTCTCCTCCTCCTCCTCTTTCCTCCCTTTTCGATGAGATAATGAGAAAAAAAAGCTAACTAAACCAACTGGAGATGAAATGTCTGCAGTTTCCTCCTGTTTTGTTTCCTCTCGCCCTCCGCTTCTTCCCATCTCTTGACTTGGCACGCAACCTTATCACACTCACCAGTCCGGTAGTTGGATTTGACACACACATCGCGGGTAAAATTGGCTGAGAGCATCCTTGAATCTGTGCTGACCTCTGTAGCATTTTTTTCCCATAAATACACAAATGCGGATTAGACACACATGTGTATCAGCACGCTATATGTTGACACCCCCCCTCTGTCCGTGATTAGAGCGGAACCGATGCATTATTTTCCCAGACGAGCAGACACCCGTAGGAAAACAGTTTTCCCTCTGTTCGGGCAGTTGACCTGCGTAGCCTTCTCATCTAACGGGATGCTATTTTCAACACAGAGGACAGTTTCATGTCACTTTCAAGCTGAGGGGTTTTGGAAATGGTGGCACTAAAAGATCAAGACACTGCCTAGTTAGACCATTGTAGGAAAGCACTAATACTGAATTGGAGGTCAGGAATAAAGGCAAATGTATACTTTTGAGTAGAAGTGATGCCATAGGTAAATAGAGTTCCCTACAAGAGAGGTTCTTGTATTTTCTCAGCCAAGGACCCCCAACCATGTGTCCACCATTTCATCTGTCTTCTGTTTCACTCAGATCAAAGTTCGTACTCATCATCCCTCAATCCTCCCATGTCTTCTCTCTTTCCTGAGTTAGTCACTTAAAAAAAAGAATAGTTTTTTTACTGTTTGTTTTTTTGCAAGATGAGCAGGCAAGCTGAATGTGGCGGCCATTCATTACCATAGCACTGGGTTTGCCTTTTCCTGCTGTGGCGAACATGTGGGTAGAATACGGCTCCCGGCAGGAGGGACTCGGCAGAGCCAGAAGCCTGGGGGGGGGGCATCTGCAAGGCTCTGATGGATCCACTTGCCTCTTGTCATTTTTCTTGTCAATGCCAAACAAAGCCACACAGCTGCTATAAACAACTGTTTGTGTTGTGGTTGTCGTCGAGGTGTGAAAGGGCTCGGCGCTGATTAGCGTCTGAAAGGTTAATGTGTGTTTCCCCTGTGACTGACCCACGCTGTCTCTTTTCTCTCCCCCGCCCCTCTCTCCTCCCCCCTCACAGGTGTCCCTCAGTAGCAGCATGCTGGACGTCTATGGGGGTGAACCAGGTATGAACCTCCCTAATGGTGGAATGAGCCCCACATCTAACCCCACAAAGCTCACTGTTAAAAGGGAATACACAGGTATGCACTCATACCATAGCACTGATCAAACAACTAACCAATTAATGACTTATCACGAGCTCACGAGCTGAGTGAAAATCACACGTTATGGTTGATTTTGAGGGAAAAAAATCAAAACCTTGAAGGGTTAGGTAGCAGAACAGCGCGTACCTGTGTTGACTATTAATGGCAACACATTGTGTGCGTCTGTTCCTGCTAAAATCGAGTCCAATTACGCGTGTCAGGCAAATATGTAAGCTGATTTGTGTCCAGTGTTTGACAAACACTGCCCTGCTTGTCATTGCTTCCGTTAATAGGCTGCAGAAATGTGTAGACTTTTCGTCACAGTGCGAAAACAGAGGGCCCTTTAAAACATTTCTTATTAATGTCATGCATCAAGCAAAGGCGTCTAATTGATTTAGGAAATCGAAAAGGATGCCTGAAGAACCCTTCGCTCTCAACCAGCAAATAAGTAAATTGCCAACTGGTTCTGAGTGTGGGTGGAGGGACAATGGGCTGTTACACAGTCTAAATTGTCCTGATTCAATCAACAGAGACAAATTGGGAAATCCAATCTCAGGTCCCCAATTATGTAATTTGGAAGAATGCGAATACAAATATGGATGCACTGGCATTTTGAGCCCCGCCGGGAGAGATTAGTGGACTGTCTTAATTGTGGAGTAAGTAGTTTAAAAGTGGCCACCATTTTTAGTTTTCACAATGAGCTTCAGACAAACTGGAGGGGATAAATTGGGCTCTTTCAGTGTGCGTGTGTGTGTGTGTGTAAGGAGGTCAAACTGTGGTGCGGGATAACTGCACAGAAACTCCACTCTCAGACTTGACCTTGGCACCGAACTGTCTCAACACAACTGGCTGTGCCTCTCGTGACTGGAGCTTTCATGGCGTTTTGTGTCTTTCGTTGTCTTTCAGTTGCTAAATTAGTGTGCGTTGCTAATCACTTCGTTCCCCTCTGTGATTAATTTTTTTTCCACAGAACACGACACAAGGGTGATGGCCAAAGAGCGACAGAAGAAAGACAACCACAATTTAAGTGAGTGTCCCCCCCACCGCCTTTCAACTCTATCTTAGTTTATGGTCTAGCGATGAGTTATCGCCGGCCTCAAAGGCATATTGGTTTTATCTTTGGTTGTGACATTTCTTTTAGATAGACAAAATAATGTGCACGCTTGTTCTCTGAAGATGCACATAAAGAGCCTGACTCTGCAGAAAGTTGACTCTGCATGTGTTTACTGATATAATTCATCTTAATCTGTCTTTTCAGTGATTTAAAATGAAATTTTAAAATTAATCTTTAGAACTTGATTTTTATTCTAAATTCATAATTTGCATCGTAGGGCTTAACAAGGTGTGACATCCTCTGCACTTAACGTTCAGCAAGAGTGAGGAAAAAAAGGAGATTAAAAACATATTTTCCAAAAAGTATTACGATAGATCCAAATGCAATGCTCATACTATATTCACTATATCAAAAATATGTCAAGATCTTGTACTAGAGCTGACCTGAGAGACTGCAGCTCACCTGTCTGCCTCGCTCAGCAGAATTTTTTAGAATAAAATTGTGCCTGACATTAACTACCAACAAAGCTGGACAAGCTGCGGCTAATTCACTTTACAAATCATCGTCATATCCTGATGACCCACATGCAGCAATACAATATCAACTAATGAATTTTGTGCAATGGAGACATTTTCAATTCTGTAACACTTGAAACCTTTTAAGTACAAATAAGATTTTGGTTCCACTACTGCTACTGCTGAGTTGAAGCTGGTTAACAAATGATAATGCAGTTTAAAGTCGAGGATTTCTATATGAAGAATAAGTATCACTTATTACCATATCACAGTATATTAAGGTTTAGGTCATGTATATTGTTGTATTATATTGTTTATTTTATTAGGTCAACTTATTTATATATTAGTTTTCTGCACCAAAGAGGAGCATTGTTTTTTATTTCCTTGTATGCAGCACTCACAATGACAATATAGGCTTTCTGATTCCGATTTCTTCACTGTCAATACCCACATCTACACCCATGGCATTTAATAGAGCAGCTGAAGAGGGTATTTCATCTTTTCCTTTTTTTGTTCTGTTTCCTTAGTTGAAAGAAGACGAAGATACAACATCAACTACAGGATTAAGGAGTTGGGGACCCTCATTCCCAAGTCAAACGACCCGTAAGTTGCAAAATCTGAAAATGTATTTACTGTAGTAAAATACACTCCTTCTCATCTTTGTCTCATCACTGAAACAACTGCCGAGACAAGGAATTGTCTTTCAGGGGGAAGTGTATTAAATTCCGAGCACAAAGACACTCAAGATGTCGTTCTCTGAATTCAAATGAGCGCTTGAGCACATTTCAGTCACATTTCGAGGGTGCACTTGAACCTCCATTGTAGTCGGCGCTCCGAGAGCCATATGTCCTCGGGGTCACGGAGGTTCAGCTCAAAAGCAATGAACGACAAGGAGAGGGGTCAAATGCAGAGAGAAGGTGGACCGCGCTGTTCGAATCAAACCTTGAAGCACAATTGGAAACGAAGAGACGGAAGTGCGGAGGTGAAGAGAAATCCATCGGCCATCTCTCGCAATTGAACTTTGCTTGGAATTTAAATGGAAGGTTACCGTTGTCACGGCGCCATTAACACAGGATAAAGGAGATTATTAGCTGCTGATCAGACCAATGTCTCACTTGTGTGAAAAAGGATAATTTCACTACAGTTCCCCTTTAAAAAAAGTAATAATATCTGCAAAGGAATGACTTGCACTCTAGCACCTTAACTCCATTTCTCCATTTCCCCCCGTCTTCCTACTTAGTTCATTTTCCCCTCACCTATTTTTACTCAAGGATTAATTTTACCGAACAAGGAGCCACGAGAATGGACTTTCCACATAGCTACTTAACTATTCTATTAAAATTCCCCATTCAGTGTCCCCATGTAATGTCCGAGGATGAATAATTGCTCAATGTAAATCACCATTTCTTATTCATATCATAAAAAGGGGTAAAAACCTCCATGTTAAAACTTTTTTCTTATTTTTTATACGTGGAGGATATTCTGCCGACATCAGGGGGTTCTGTGTTAAAGGTTATCTTTTTACATTTGTCCTTTCTGCAGGGACATGCGCTGGAACAAAGGCACCATCCTGAAAGCCTCGGTGGAGTACATAAGGTGGCTGCAGAAGGAGCAGCAGCATGCCAGGGAGCTGGAGAGCCGGCAGAAGAAGATGGAGCAGGCCAACAGGAGGCTGCTGCTGAGGATCCAGGTAATAAAACACAAAAGTGTGTTTTTGTAGTATACAGAGTGATGGTTGAAACATCAATATATCACCGTGGTGACAAAAGTAGAGCTGATCAGGAAGTTGATACGTCCTTGATTTGTGCGTCTGTTATTCCATAACAGATTCAGTCCACCAAAACAATCTGCTCACTTAAATCCATGAACAATACTCTTTTACACTAAAATAAGAAGGTTACAGATATTTTTAAACGTAGATAAACTCACAAAAAACAGCCATCACTTTCGATCAAAGCCACAGTTGATAAAAACATGATTCTACCGCAGAGTCATTTGACCTGGGAGTGAACATCAATTCTATTAATTCCTATTAAGGACAAAAGCCAGATGTTAGTGGGTTTTTTGACCAGTGGAACAGAGGCTTTACAGTCCATTACACCAAAGATCAATTTGGTAAAGACCCCCACCACCCCACCCCCACTCGTCTGTGCTAATTACCTGATGAATAAAGACAATGACCTAATCTCTTTCAGTGGAAATAAAAGCAGCGGGTGTCAGAAATAGATGATGAGCAGTGATCAAAGAGATATCTAATGACGCATGCATGCACAGAGCTCGGTGCATGACGCTCGCACACTTTAGCGTAAACACAAATTGTGGTTTATTTTAGGTGGAGCAATGGGAAAGACACAAAGACAAATCTGGAATGATAACAAAGCATGACTAAGTAGAGGATGACACAGTATCCAGGAAACCTTTATGACTGCTGACGATAAAGGGACAGTTAATAAAGGTCAAACTGGGCTTGGTGGTACCACTGATAGGTGATTAGTTCTGATAGCATACTGTGTGTGTGTGTGTGTGTGTGTGTGTGTGTGTGTCGGGGGGGGTTAGCTTGGTTAATGGGTGTTGCTTGAGAGGAGCTGAGCACTGACAGGCAGGGACAGTCAGACAGAGGTATACACTTGTTGTTGTGTTGAACTGTGTAGCTGTGAGTATGGAAAACACCTTATTTCTATTGTAGGAGACAGTGTTCAGGGTCTGATCCAGGGAGAGAGCAAGGTGAGGGGCCCAGCACAGAGGGTAGAGCAGGAAACGTATATATATACAGTACACTCGGTGGTCTGCTTTGGTGTCCCCTCCAGGATTACTCTGTTAATCGCTTCCCCAATAGTAAGACAGGATGTGTGTGGGAGAGGACTGTGCGTCAACACCAAATCTCCCCAACACAACCTCAGTATGTGGAGGAGGTGTGTAGGTGTGGTTTATCCCAGTGCTACTCCATGCTGTGTTGTCACTTTTGGTATTCAGATAATTTTAGGTATTTATTCAGATAATATCTTAACTACAATAAGTGAGCACATTAAGTAACACATTAAGTAATGAATTCTTTCCCTTCTTTTTCAGGAGCTTGAGATCCAGGCGCGAGCACACGGTCTCCCAAACATGACCACATCCTTGGGGACAGTCGAACTCTCCTCCCACCTCCTAAAACAACAACAGCAGCAGGCGTCCCCCCAGGCCCAGCAGCCCCAGCAACCTCAGCAGCCCCAGCAACCTCAGCAGCCCCAACAGCCCACACTCTACCAGGAGGACCCCAACAGCGACTACCTCCAGAGGATAGCCGTAGTGCCCTCCATCCCCACCGCCAGCGGCCCACAGGACCCCGCCGGTGCCGACGGGTGCACAACGTTCTCCGACCCGCTGTCACACTTCACAGACTTCTTCAGCGCCACACTCAAGGAGGAGCACCGGCTGGACGAGATCATCATGGACAACCTGCTGTCGCCGTTCGGCAGCGACCCGCTCCTGTCGGCCGGCTCGCCCGGAGCTGAGTCAAAGGACAGTAGTCGCAGGAGCAGCTTCAGCTCTGCCGGAGGAGACGACCTATAATCCCCCTCTCCAGAACATACTCAAGTTATCTCCTTCTGACAACATGGTTGTAATCTCCAGTGTTAAAGGGCATACACAGAGCCTTTAAAAAGACTGACTGACGGCTCCGGGCAAAGAATAATGAGCACTCACAGACTGCAAGTCATTGAAATGAGCACTGACACACGACAGAGCCCCTCAAAGAGCCAGCTGTGTATAAACTGTACTCCTCGTTGAATGGGTGGGTGTTATCGGACCGAAAGCTTGGACTCTCCAAAGCTAAGTGGCACTAAAGACATCCACAAGACCTTCTGCTGTATTACCTCCTCTTTTTTAAAGTTACAACAGACAATATGTTTCTCTGCCTCCCACTCAGCAGAAACAGACTCAGAAAAAAGGGAGACATTTATGTACATAATGTAGATAACAGAGCCTGTTTTGTACACGGTAACATGCAAAAATAATCACTTAAAAACCTGACAAAAGTGTCCATTTATAAAAACAGTGGCTGTGAGGAGTTTATTTGTATAATGTGCCTTATTTGAAATCCCAGTTCTGTCTTTAACTACAATATGAACAACTGATGTACTCACCACGATGCCTAACATGTCCTCAGTCCTGTCTGTGTCTTATAAGTGTTTTTGTTAAGTAAGTGTTTATATGCATCCGTTTTAAACCATGTATTCCTTTAATACGTCATGTATGTATATATTATTATTATTATCTAACATGTTACCTTTTTTATTCTTACCAGGGGTGGGAAAACTATAATAAACCCCTTTTTTATATACTTGATTTTGGCTTCTTGTTTCTCATCTTGAAGTCTGCATTCACATCTAAAGATTTTCTGAATCGGGAGGTCATAAAGGGGCCACAGTTAACTCAACAGGTCAGTAAGGTGCACATTTATGTCATTACTTGTTTACTGCTAGCACTATGGCTCTAAGAAAAATATCACACATTAGAAAAAACTACTGGCCGCACAGGGGCCCATCAGATTTAGGTCCCGGTCACATATACGTATGTATAAAGTGAATATAGCTGGTCAAAGTTCACTGAAGATATGCCTCGCGTCCTTGCTTGCACTGATTGGAAGTGGACGAGAGGCAAAGGTTTTTCGGAGCAACATTCGCGTACGTGAGACCAGTGCCTAAGCTGGGGCCAGTTCCCCCTTGGACCCACCCCTACACTTGCCCCTGATGCACACCCTCACACACAATACAGAAAAACCTAACTTAAACTACAAGTGGAGCCCTAAACTCTACATACACTACCCTAAAAACCAAAAATATAACTTCTATATAATTCAGCAGAGCGTATACCTCCAATAGTCCCCAGATCAGAGCACATTTTAATTCACTAGATCTGGATTTTTATTTGGATCAACACTAAATTTCACACACTCATACATGTCGGACCCCTGAACATGCCTGATTTGCTGAAGTACATATATATACGTATCAGAGTTTCAAACAGGGCGGAGAAGCGCGAACGAAGCCTGAAAAGTTTTGCCGAGCAAGAAGGTGAAGGAGCCGGTTTACAAGGTGGCTGACTGGCAATGAGTGCCAGAATAGGAAGAGAGAGGAGGGAAATTGGATAATAAAGACAAGTAGAGGAGGAGTAATAATTCTGATGAGCCCACTGTGAGTTGATGAGCTCTTGAGGATGAATAATGGTTATGGGATGAAGAGTTGCCACTAGAGCTGTTGGCTAAGAGCAGAGAAAGTTTTCTTTGAGGTAAGCTGGGCGACGAACATTGACAAAGTTTGCAGAGAAAAGTTTGTTTGCAAATAACTTCTGATCTAAAAAAGTATTTTTCTGGTTGTATCACTCATTCGTCAACATAGTTTTCTAATAGTGACGTCATGTATTAATAATACAACAAACACAATTATTCCCAAACAGATTCCTCATCAAAGCCTCCCTGAATTAATGTTTCAGTGTTATTAACGTGTTTCTCTGTAATGAAATCGACAAGTTCCTCATCCGCATCTTCTCCTCTGCCGCAAATAAGCCTGAGCCGATCAATCTCAGAGCGAGTAAAACCACTCACAGCTACAAAGTGGTGAGTGATGTTTGTGGGTAATTGGCCAAAGCAGCTATGGAAGGTAAATATAGATTTTCATTACGCTAAAAATAAAGAAAAAAAAAATATGGAGAGTATCTAAAGAAAGAGTCTGCATGAGTAAGATTTCAAAAGGCTCGGTTTACATTTTGATTTTCAAAGATTTTCTCTTTTCTCGTTTCACTAAACTTAGGAAAAATATACAAATCCAATTAGTGTCATGCAGGATTTGATGAAAAACAAAGTCAGGAGGAGGATAAAATACACTTATAATCCAACAAAATATACAAAAATAATTGCATTTTTTATCTATCTCTTTATCTAATTAATTAATTACACATGACCCCTGCTCTTATAATTCTTTGGTTGCTTGTTATCCTGTTTTTTTTACCTGAAGTCTTTTATCTTATTGTTGGCGTATTGTTGTTTTATGTGTGAGTTACTGTATACTGGAATTATCTTATCTTTAGAATAGAATAGAAAGCAACAAAATGAGTGGTGACAGTAATTGCACAGAATGTGTATTGCTGTTAAAAATTATAAGAAAATATATATGTCAATGTCAATTTATAGAAGACTAGGATAATATGAATGAATGATCTTTTTTTTTAATAGAATAGAATGGAATAGAAAGCAGCGAAAGAAAATTAGAGATGCTACTTCTGAAAATGCTGCAAACGTAGTGTTTATACCTATTTGGTAATGCACAGAATGGATACTGCACTTGACAATGATGTTAATATATATAAAAGGATATTGTGACTCAATATGCTGTTTTTCTAGAATAGAATATTATTGGCACTGTACAGGAGAAAGCAGTATACAAAATTAAAGGTGCTATTCTGAAAATGGTGCAAATAAAAAGAAAACATGTTTAAAATCCAATGAAAAAATACAGCTACCATGTTGCACATACATACATATATATCATGTGCACTTTCTCTCTCTATATATATTTTATGTAAAAAATTTTTAGTTTCATTCTTTATATTTGGTATAGTTTTGTTCTTAAAGTTTCACATCTTGTTAAGTGTGTTGTGTCTGATACCTTTCTCTCTCTCTCTCTCTCTTTCTCTCTATCTATCTCTATATCTATCTATCCAATGATCTAAAATATCCATTCAAAATAGAAGTGATTTCCTATAAACATCCACAATGACTCTTTTCAGACTTCCCCCCTCGAGAAAAAGCATTCTCTCCTAAAAAAAGGGAAATTACGATTAAACTTCCTGACTGATTCATTTCCCTCCATATCAAAGGCTATCGTGGACAAAGTTCAAGACCAGTTTGCGCAGGCTTCAAAGGGGAAAAACGCAGTCGGATGAGGCAACGGTGACATCAGAACAAGGGACTTTTTATTTGGAACATCGCAGTTCATCAACCCCCACCACGGTTCTGGAAAAACGCACACAGGAACAGGATGCGAGGAAGTGACATGAGATGTGGACTGAGGCGCCGGCGCTCAACACCACTTACATGTTATAAAGACAAGAGGAGGAACATACATTTTAAAAATGCAGGACAAATTTGGGGGGAAAGTTTGCATTCCTACAACCGACATCTCTCGCTTATTCATTAAAAGCTGATTTCATGTTTATGACTTTTTGCAACAAATCTGAAAATCTGTTTTTATCTTACTATTGCATGCACAGCAAAATGGTGTCCCTGAATGAATGACCTCTGTGCCAGGTTAGCAGGCCTGCTGCTGTGACATAACTCCAACAGCAGGTGGCAGCAATGGGCTGTGTTTTGTGCTCACTCTGAGCAGTGTTAATAAAAAGTAACCAAACACACACATGTGGAAGAGAGAGGAACAGTTGTGGTGGGTTTATTAAAAAAAAAGGGGTAATAAACTAAAAGAAAAAATGTTTAGCTTATCACAGAAATTGGTAAACAGCGCTTACACAAATGGAACGGTGCCGTGGCAGAATAGGCCCGAGTCCATGGTAGTCCCCATACTTTGCAGTATAAACTGACAAATCTAACGGAGGCGAGTGATGTCGTGAACCTCACACACGCAGTCGTTCTGTCACCAAAACAACGTTGTCAGACCTGCTGCCACCCACCAACACTGACACCGCCACTGAGCGGGAGAAGCTGTCACCGGCGCACATGCCACAGCTGCCAGCGTGCTACAGTGCGCTCACCTGTCGAGCCTGCCATTGGCAAAACTTAATCACCTTCCGCCGAGGTGACTCTCACAAAAAAAAAAACACACGCACGAAGCCACACACACAAACAAGCCCAATCAAATGTGCTTGTGTGCAAACATGCCAGCACCGACACACACAAGCACAGGTGTGTATTTCGTTTCCACACACACACACGAGGAAGAGAAGGAGGGAGGAGAAAAAAATAAGCACCTAAAAGCCCTCATCAAAATCTGGACTGTGACAAGACTTGTGCACAAATTAGGTGAAATTTGAGTGGGAATAACAATATGACAGCCGGCAGTGAGGCACCAAACATCAAGTGTCATATCTATTTTCAGCCGTGACTCAGAGCTGTGTGACAAACAACACCATGCTGCTCCTCAATCAGTCTGGAAATGTGGCAAACTATAGGCACCCGGATGAGATTTTACCCTGTTAAGGAAAAAATAAGAAATGATCTGAGGTTGGGGTCAAAGCTAAAGGTGAAACTATGAAAAACTTGACAGAAAAATTCAAGAAAATCTTTTTAATGATCGAGCAATCGGCACCGTCGCAGTAATTCATCCCTGGATTCTGTTCGGGCACTGGCCTGCGTGCTGTTTTTTATTAAGGACCACACCCTGACCAGTGCTCGACAAACTCCCACATCACTCGGCCCCACGTGCATTAACGACGCAACGCAAGAGCGACGAAGGAGGGAGGGGAAAAAAAAAAAAGTGGCCCGGGCCTTCTCGAGATGCTATAAAATTAATGCGATTTCCAGAGTTTTTATGAATCGAGCCAGATGCCAAATACATAACTTCAAACAAATTGACTTCCAATTATTGCTGCGGCGCACCACTTCCAGATGTGCAACAGATGGGGGGCCCGGGCGACTAAAAGGTGTCTCGGCCCCCTTGCTTTGTGTTATTCTGCCGTAAAAAAGAAACGGCAGTACAGTTGTATGTGTTTTAAATCACTGTGCATGGGCTGTGGGCTGGAGGTGAAGGGAAGGACAGGATAGGGGGATAGCAGAGGGAGAAATGAAAGCACATCATTAGGAAAATGTAAATCTTCACAGCGCAGACAGTGCAGCTCCATATGTAGCATTAATACAGCTTGATATTATGTAAAGGCAGATGAGATGCTGCGGCTGAGAGCAGGAGCTGTATCAAGGAGTTGGGGGGGATTCAGAAATGTAAATGTTAATGTGATCTCCGCTGTATCTTCCAGTGCTGGGATTAAATGGTAAAAAGGAACAATTATGGGGCTCGCTTTTTTTGTGCATATGTTAATAGCTACAATATCCTTGCATACATAAAGAACATTAGATATGATTAGAACATACCCACAGTATAGAGCTTTTAAAATATATATATATTTATATATATATATATATATAGAAGGTTTTACAATAGTCATGAGCAGCAGCACACTCTGTTCCGCCGTTAATGAAGTCTTCCTGGAAACTTTCGGTAATTTGATTAGTCACCGTTAAAGCCACATAAAAGTAAAACAAATGTGATTTTGGAGCGAGAGAAGTCGCTGAGCACGGAGTTCTTTTCACTGCGCA